CCCTACCCAGCCTGACCACTGTGGCTTATCTCTGTGTGTTTCTTGCTTTAATCAATCATCTCAGTCTTTCTGGAGGTCCAAGGAAAACCGTTTGTCTGGTAGAATCTGCTGTGTGATGAGAGTAAGGGATTATATTACTGCCGTGATTTGATTTTTCATTGAAGAGAAACTTTTAGGTTGCATTCATGCTGATGGATTGGTCTGGGACACCATCACCTGTGCAGTCTCCCAGTTGCCCCACACTCTGCTGTGATCTCTCCTGCCCCTTTCTTTGCCCACATCTACCCCTGACCTAGTGTCCACCTGCAGAGTCTGAGCCCACAGACTGTCTTCTCAACAAGGTGGAATTCTGTCCACATACCCCCGTGGCCACTTGCCCGTGAAGGGCTGGTCTCAAACATTTTGGTTTCAGGACTCCCTTCACGGTCCTGAAAATTACTAACAGGCCGTTTCTGTGGCTTTGACCTGTCTGCACTGACCGCATTTGAAATTAAAATGGAGATGAAGAAATAAATATTGTATAAGTAAAATAGATGACATATATTCACGTGAAATAAAAGAACACTCACAAAAGAGGAACACAAATTATTTTTCACGTTAATATGAGGTGTAAATGTAACGTTAGGTTACGTTGTTTGCGTCTGTGAGGTAAACAGCAAGTTGTAGTTGAGCCCTCCACCCGGGGCGTCTGCTGTGTACCCTGCGCAGTGCCCATTAGGGAAGAACACACCAATCCCTCCCCGTCTCCCCTCTCCCGCGTCCGCCCCACTTGAATTTAATTCTGATTTTCTATTGTGCGAGCGTATAAATGTTTCTGTGTTGCTTTCATATTAGTAGTGAGTACATTGGATACTTGCTTTTCCATTCTGGTGATACTTAGTAGAAGGTTTTCCAAACACAGAAGGTAAAAGCAACCTATAAAGTCTCCGTCTTTCTTTATGGCTGGATAGTATTCCACGGTATACAAATACCACAGTTTGTTTATCCATTTGCGAGTTGGCAGGCACTTGGGCTGTTTCCGCATCTTGGCAGTTGTGAACTGAGCTGAACTAAACTAGTGCAAATAGCCTTGCGATAAAGTGATTATTTTTTTCCTTCTGGGTAGATACTAGTAATGGGATTGCAGCAACACCAGAAATAAATAATTGGGACGTGATCAAGCTTTAAAAAAGCTTCTGTACAGGTAAGGGCACAACAAGTAAATCAAACAGTCTTCAGAATTGGAGAAGATTTTTGTATGCTAGGAATGTGACAGAGGTCTAAGAACCAAAATCTACAGAGAACTCAAACTAATCAAGTTTGATGGGCTGAGAACAAGCCCATCTATCACTGGGCAAGAGGCATGAACAGAACCTTCTCTGAAGAAGACAGACACATGGCCAACAAACATGAAAAAAAACTCATAGTCCCTGATCATCAGAGAAATGCAAACGGAAACCACCCTGAGATATCACCTAACCCCAGTGAGAACGGCCCACATCAGAGTCTCAAAGCTGCAGGCGCTGGCGTGGAGGTGGAGAAAAGGGAACGTTTTTACACTGCTGGGGGGATTGCAAACTAATACAACCTCTATGGAGAGAAGTAGGGAGAAACCTCAGAGAGCTACAAGTAGATCTTTCATTTGATCACACAAACAGCATTTTTATTTTATTTATTTATTTATTTTTTTGAGACAGGAGCCTCAAGCTGTCTCCCTGGGCAGAGTGCCGTGGCATTACAGCTCACAGCAACCTCCAACTCCTGGGCTCAAGCGAGTCTCCTGCCTCC